TCAGTCCATATCGAGCTCTTCGCAGTCAGGACCGCCAGGCTCCGTGGGCCCTACCGGCTCGGTCGCGGTACAGTTCGCCGTGTCCCCACAGGGGCTGGGCTCCCGGGGGAGCGGTGCAGGAGAGGGAGACTGGGGAAAGCCTCCCCCACCCCCACCTGCTTCTGCTCCGCATCCCGCTCCACCTCCAGCTCCAGTTCCGCCGCCCTCCGCCGAGTCCCTGTAAGCAGGGGGTGCCAGGGCTGTCCCAGCCTGGCCGCCCCCGCTACTGCTGTCTGGGCTACAGTTGGCAAAGGGAGAGTTCGTGGAGCCTGGGCCAGGGTAAGCTGGAGGTCCCGCGGCTGGCCCGAAACTGGCCTGGCCAGGATTAGAGGCGGGGGGCGGGGGAGCTGGTGGGGCGTCTTTAGGAGCCTGCTCCGGGCCCGGCCCGGCCTTAAGGGCCGCCTGGGGGACGAGGAAGCCGAGGGGTTGGGTGATCGGATAGAGGAGGAAATGTCCTTTGCCTATGAGGGTCCGCGGGGCACAAGGCAAGCCCGGCGCAAAGTCCAGAGTGGCCGGCGCTTTCCGGCGCGGGGGTGAGTCCGACAGGAGGCTCTCTACACTGAATGGGCTGGGCTTGGGGAAGCCGGAGGAACCTCGACCCGGGGCGCAGTCTGATGAGGAGGAGGAAGAAGAGGAGGACGAAGAGGAGGAGGACGAAGAGGAAGAAGAGTCCTTATCTGGGAGCCGGCTCAGCCTCTGTTGCAGGCCGGCGCCGTTTCTTTGGCTCGGGTAAAAGGCTGGGTCGCAGCTGCCGGGGGCCGGTGGCTCGCTGGCCGCGCTGGGGGCCGGCCGTGGGCCCTTTCCCGGGGGCGGCTCTGGGGGCTCTGGGGAGAGGCCGCCGCCGCCGCTATCACTATCGGAGCTGGGCGTACTGTGCAAGGACAGGCTGCTGGGAGAGTGCAGGTGGCGGCTCTGGCTCTTGAGCAGTTTCTTCTCATGCTTGCGTTTCTTCTTCTCCATCTTCTCCAGCTCCTTTCGGGCTATCTCCTCTGGATCCATGGGCTCCCCGCTGCACGTGGTGGGATGAGAGTTGTGAGCCGGCCTCCCTGGCCCTTTCTTCGTGTTCTCCTTCTTTCTCCATTTGGCCCGGCGGTTTTGGAACCAGACCTAAAAAAGCCGGATAAGGGAAAAGCAAGGGAGAGTCAGACTGGGGGCCGGGGCCGGGGCGCTGAGGGGGAGGGACTGGAGACCAGAGGACACAGGGCATACGGGGGCCCTGCTGTTGCTTTCCTGCCCGGGTTGGGGAATGGGGATGGGTGAGGGGAAAGGTGTTCTGAATGGCCTCATGTTTCAAAAAAAAAAAAAAAAAAAAAAAGTGAGTCTAAGCAGGCTAGGTGAAAGGGGAAGTGGAAAAGAAACTACTCCTGGTTTTCCCTGATATGGGATTTCACATATACATTCGGTTAGGCCGCAAATTCAAGCATCCTTTTGACCGGAGAAGAAGCGTTTTTAGGGGTACATGGTTGCTGCTCCCCCAATACAGTCTGCTTCCCCCGCTTACTCCTCAGTGTTGAGCTATCTTTAGATGTTAGAGCTCAGTTTGGTTGTTAGAGCTCAGTACCAAAGTTAACTGGATGGTACGTCCGGCTGGAGAAATAGTGGAAAGAATGGGCAACTCTTGTCCCTTCTCTCTCTCTCTCTCTCTCTCTCTCTCTCTCTCTCTCTCACACACACACACACACACACACACACACACACATTCACACATGCATGCACACAATATTTGAGAATCTAAGAACCCAGTCTTTAGGCTGCCAAACCCTAGGCTTCCTTTCAGTCAAGAGAAGCCTCCACAACTTTATGCTCCGAACTCACCCATTCCCACAACCTGCCTCTTTCTCCATGCTCCCCGAAATAATTTAAGCTCATAGCATTCTGATTTGGTGAATGGTGACTGATTTCTAAACCCTCTCATCATTCCTGCATGGAGGAAGTGCAAAAATGCATCCAGCCCCCAGCTAGGTTTTCCCCACCCTTAACTCCACCGCTGATCATGGAGGAACCCTATGACGGCCACGGTAGTACCTCTCTTTACACAACACTCCCTATGTCGTTCCTCTACTTATTTGGACCCCGAGGGCTGAGGGTCCTGCCAGTATAAGGAGCAAGACAATCTGAACCTTTGTCCCCAAAGTATTGAGAGTGAAGGGGAAGAAATTCCAGGGACAGACGATCTATATTTAGATATATATACGTATACACATACACATACATATATGTACATATAGTCGAGTTATCTTTTTTTCCCCTTTCTCCCTTATCCGTTCCTGAGTTACTTTCCTGAGGGTGGTTTGCCAAGGTTTTCTTTTGATTCTCACTCTGAACAGTGTCACTCGTAACCATCCGCCAATACAGAAATTCACACGGGAAAACACAAACACACAACAATCCACTTCGTCCCACACACGTACACAGGTACATGTTCCTTATCTCTTAAACCATCACCACCACCACCATATACACCCGTCCCCGTGCCTTTAAGAAAGAGAAGGATGATTAGAAACCAAAATTCAAAAAAAAAAAACCTTTGGACGCTGTATCATAGTTATGTCTAACACGACGACAGAAAAGTGTGTGTACCTAGAAAAAGATGGAGATGTGTTTGTTTAGACTCTCCCAGCCTTGTCAGTGAGGGTAGCTCCTTTCTTTGTGCCCATTGCAGACCGCCTTGTCACTGAGAATTACTCATTATCGTATTAGAGGGAAATGAAGGGGTCTCGACTTCACTTAACAATCTCAGAACAAATTGGATAAAAGGATTTCAAAACACAAGAGGTCAAGAGGGGAGGAAAAAGCACTCGGTAAATACACCTTTTAAACAATGCTAATGGGCGAATTCGCTGCGGCGCAATAGCCTCGCCCTGCCTCAGTCTAAATGTCTCAGAGTTTCAAGCAAATAACAAGCCTTCAATTGCAACGAACCCAACCTCCCCACCCCATCAAAAACTTCTGTGTTCCACACTTCGCGAAAACACTAATTAAGCAATTTCATTTTGAATTTTTAATGCACCAGATTAACGCTGTATTTTGAAAAGTGAAAGCAGTCCCACAGTTTCCATACCAATCAAAGAGATGCAAATAATAAGAAAAAAAAAATCGGGCGTTAGATATACTCTGTTCCTTCCAATTCTCGGATGTGTTAACTATTTAAGTTTCCGGCTCCCTTTCTTCTGCTCTCCCCCTTCTGAAAAGCGATGAATAAATACATGTTTTCTATCTGAATATTTTAGAGCCAAATAAACAAACAAACGGGTTTATTCAAAGCAAGGGAGAGGAGCAGCTGTTCAGTGGATAAGGAGGGAAACAGGCGCAGCTTGGAAGTCATTTGTGTCTGAACTTCATGCCCAGTTCTCCTTCACCTCCACTGTTTGGCTGTTTTCTCAGCCACCTTTCCTCCTATTTTCAACATGACTCCCATACATTCCCCTCCATATAGCCCGTTCTTTAATGTTGAACGCTCCTTCTTATTTTGGTGGGTTTATTTCACCGATACACTCCCCCAACATAAACTCATCTCCAATATTCAAAGCGGCTGGTTTCTGGGCAGAACTGGTTAAAACATATTCTGCTCTTTTAGGGCCTATTCTGCCCCCCCCCCCCGCATCAATACGTCCTCCCCCCACCATGGTGTTAAATCTCTACACACATCCTACTTCCAAGAAGCGCTGAGGACTGGCACAGGGATTTCTCCCCACTACAGTCTGTCCTCACAAACACACACAGCCATGCTACCCTTGGCGGCGCAGGAAAACAAGGCGACCGCTGACCAGACCCAGAGAGGACTCGATACCGGAGTCCTAGAACAAAGAGGGAGGGGGGTCGTGTCGGGAAGAGGGTAGGCAAGCAGGAAGGGGGAAGGAGTCTGAACGCCACTCTCTGAAGAAGCTCGGCCTGTGAATCGGGAACGCCTGAGTCTTAAGAAGGAGAGTGGGGGTGGGGTATGTGTGCTGGGACTGTTACCTGCACTCGGGACTCCACCAGGTCCAAGCGTAGAGCCAGCGCTTCCCGCATGAAGACATCTGGGTAGTGGCTTTCATTAAAGGCCTTCTCCAGCTCTTCCAGCTGCCAGCCTGTGAAGTTGGTGCGGGTTCTTCTCCGTTTACAGCCTGGACTTTCCTTATCCGGGTCTCCGGAGTCTGTAGGGGTACACAGTAGAGGCATGGCGAGGTCAGACCTCTGGGAGGCGTTCCTCTGCTCCCCCCAAAGGGTCTCGCTCTTTATCTTCATCCCTGCTCCCGTTTTACTTACTCCCTTCAGGGAGTAGACTTCAGGGGATCCCCTGCCCCAGCTCATAGTACAACTTCAACCGGAGTACTCAAAGTGTCTGCCTTTACCCTACTGTCGAAGTGAGAGAAATTCCGACCCCTCACCATCTAGTGCTGAGCTTACCCAAGAAAGGCTGCCTTGGGATAGAAAGCCTGCTAGGGAGTTTTATTTTTGTATGGGGTGAGGGAGTCGGGTCGAAGAAACCACTGATTTCTTGGGAGCTATTTTTTCACCTATAACTCAGCATATTAACTGCAGTTCCAGTACTGATCCCAACTTTCTAAACCGTGGGGCCGGTGTTCGCTGGCAGAGAAGATGTACCTGGGTACCATCCCACTCCTCCAAGAGGGAGGAAGGGTAACTTCTTTAAAAGGGTCCGCATTCTAAGGATTCTGAACCTCGTCCCCGGACGGCGCCCCCCACTGTCCGCCCCATAGCTAACCCTCCTCTAACCACTTCACCAGCCTACCTGACAGCTTGAAGGTCTGACTGTCCCCGCTCACCCCGCAGCCCGATGGCAGCAGTGGGGTGGGATTGACTACTGAGGCAGCGCAAGAACCATTCAGTAATCCATCTATGGAGAAGGGGACGGAGGCGGCGGCGGCGGCCGCCGCGGCCGCGGATTGCAGTTGGTGCCCCGCCAGTTCGTAGACGTGGTGGTGGCCTAGGGGGTAGGGAAAGCCCACCATGCCGCCCAGCGAGCCCCCGAACTGGGCATGGGGGTGATCCAGGATGCGGCTGTCCATCATCTCCGGGGTGGCAGGGCGCAGCTGGAGCTGAGGAGGAGGAGGCGCAGGCGGCGGCGGCGGAGGAGGAGATAGGGACCTGCAGCCCAGTACATGCTTCGCCCGGACTCCAGCGCTTTACTTTATCAACATCAAGCTCCCGATAATTAGCACCGGCCGGGGGAATTTGGGACCAATAAGAAGCGCTAATCGGGTCTGACGTCAGAGGCGTGCAGGGTGCAAGGAAACGTTTTCCATATCGATTGCTAATTATACCTGACATGCACCTCAATAAACAGTATCAGGAACTGTCACAACAAGACGGGGTGGGGGGGTGTTGGCGAGGGAGGAAGGAGTGGGGTTACAAGAAGGGAGTCGACCTGGGGGAGAGAGAGGGCCTGGGGGGCGGGGGAGGAGACAGAAAGACGGGGAGGGGTGCAAAGAAGAAGAGAGGCTAAGGGGAACTTTGAGACTGGATTGGAGCCCCCCAGTTAAATACCCAACAACCGGAGTCACACTCAGCACCTTCCCCTCCTTTCCCCTCCCACTCCTTTCCCCCTCCCTCCCCCTGGACTCCCCTCCCCTCTTCAAATCACTAATAGATTTCCCTTTAAAACATTCACCGGCGTGTTGTGGAGATTTTTTTTTTCACCAGAAATGCTGTACTCTCTGAACCTTTAAAGTGATGTTGCTCCAATTACAGAGAGACATTGAGCGGCAAATAGACTGATCCAATAATAGGAGATTCATCATCCTCTCTTTCCGAAGCTGTCACATTGAATTTAAAAGTACAAGGGCTTTTCATCTCCTCTCCGGCTCTATACAGCAGGGGAAAAGAAGACGGGAGGAGGAAGGGGTGGGGGGGAATAAAGAAAAACTCTTTACTGTATTTAAAGGTGATCTTACCCTATCCACAAAATTCTAATTATGCCATACAATATTGATCGATGGGCACAACAATCTGAAATTATTTTGCTACTGGAGGCGGTGGCTAATGAAGCTTAGTCAAATGTAGACAACCTAGGGAGGGGTTTGAGAAAACGTGGAGAAAGTGGTAACTTTAGGATTACTTTCCCAACCTTCTCTCCCTCCCCCCACACACTACCACCAACCCCAGGGGGAATAAAGAAAGAAAGAAAGAAAGAAATCTTAGTTTGATTCCTCCAGTGATGGATAGGGCAAAGTAGCCAGCCCATTTGTTATAATTAAATTATGCTCTTGGAGAAGTGTCACTTCCTTAGACACTCTAAAATATTGATAGAATCAAAGTTAAATCATTAAAGGACATATTCTTAAATAAGTAGCAAATTAGGCCTGTGGGTGGATGAGAAAAAATAACTTTAAAAAAAATTTTCATAGTGATTTGGTCCTGTCATAGCTTCTTCAGCCAAAACATCCTTTAAAATTCCTGTTTTATGTTTGCTTCTGATGACATGTGTGAATGAAGAGAATGAAGACACTGGATGTTTTTCTTACAGTCCCTTACTTTTAATCTGGTTTCAGTGACCCTGGGAAGGGAGGGGGAGAAGGAGGAAGAGGAGGAGGAGGAAAAGGAGGAAGAGGAAGAGGAAAAGGAGGAGGAGGAGGAGGAGAAGAAAAAGAAGAAGAGAAGAAGAGGAGGAGGAGAGGAGGAGAGGAAAAGGAGAAGAAAGGAGGAGAGGAAAAGGAGAAATGGAGGAGAAGAAAAGGAGGAGGAGAGGAGGAAGAAGAGAAGAAAGGGAGGAAGAGGAGGAAAAGGGGAAGAAAAGAGGAAGGAAAAGGGGAAAGGGAAGAAAAGGAGGAGGGAGGGAGAGGGAGAAAGGTAGGAGAGAGAGAATTAAAGAGAGAAGGAGAAAAGGAAGGAGGAAATAGAGAGGGGTCAAAGACTGAAGGAGAGAAAGAGAAGAGAAAGAGAGGAAGCCAGAGCTTCCCGCTCTCACTCCCCCATCCCTACATCCAGCCTCCCAGGGAACAAAACAGTCTACACAGCAGTAACAATTGGTTCTGTATATGATGAGCGATCAGTACATATCTCTGTGTGTTCCAGGCTGTTGGAATGTATCTCTTCATAATGGGAAAGGCTTACACGAAATTTGGCTTCCCCTTTAGGTGACTTTAAGTTCTGAAGAGAAGCCACGCAAACGGTAAAGGTGAAAGGCAGAAAGGGGGAATAAGGGTGAGGGATGGGCGGGGAAGACAAGAAAGAAACAGAAACAAATCCAGCAAGACAGGAAGGAAGATAAAGGGGAAAAAACAAAACCTTAGAAACCTTTGAGGGAAGTGTATTATTGGAGTGTGTATGTTGGGGAAAGGGGGGGGGGGGGTAATTCCTTGGAATCAGGAAGGGAGGAACGCAACCACTTTATCTCTGCCAAACACGCCAATAGCTTTTCCAGTGGCCAGTTCCAGCACCCTTCTCTCTTCGAAGACCCCCAACAGGATACTTTCTATTTAAAAAACGCCACCACAAAAGTCAGCAGCTACGATGGAAAGCAGAGGAGAGAGCCTCTGATTGGTGTGGTCTGTCTGGCCCAGAATATATCCACCTAATTGAATATCACATAATATGCCACTGCCCAATATAGATTACAGTTTAATTATTCTCTCTCTCCCTTGAAGGAGTGGAGGGAGAGGTGAAAGTAATGAGGAGGGAGGGAGGAGAAATCTCTTTAAAAATGAAAAAGAATCTAGATTTTTTTTGACTCCCAACCCTCTCCAGGAGCAATAAGAAAATGATGGTGGTATTAATTCTGAGGTCAGGGGCCAAGAGCGCTACTTTTCGCCATAATTTAATTTCTTTCTCTATAAATACTAAATGTAAACTGTGTCCATCCGACCAGATTTTGCCTGTAGCTATAAACGCCTCATTTTCTGTTGGGTTTCAGAAGAGGAATGCAAAGGAAGCGTGATTCTGAATACAGAATGGTAATCAATCCGGCTGAGGGGTGGAGAGGGGGGAGGGGAGGGGAGGGAGCTCAGCCTCTCTCCCTCTCCCGTTCTCTCTTTATTATAATGAATTAATTCGACTTTATTTATCCCATTTTCTGGAGCTGACAGAATGTTAATTTGAGTTGAAATTTCGCTCGCCTCTCACTCCCTGACCCCTGGCCCTCAGATTGGCGTGTTGTAATAACCTGAATCTTTCAACAGAGGCCCTGATAATTGTTACCTTATTAGCATGCAAATTGTTTAATTAATATTATTATGAAGAAGCATACAATCCGTCCGTCACTTGACCTCAAGAGCAAGTCCACGCCGCAGCCGGCTCCCTGCATTTCAATGCTCCTATTTCAATCGCCTTGTGTTTTTAATGTTGCCGGGACTCTCGTGGAGCTCCTAAAAATCTCTTAGAGGGTTTGAGAGGAGCCTTTAATGAAGGTGGGGGGTGGCACGGGGGAGGAGGGGATTTCTGGAGTCTCCCAGCCTTGATATTTCTTTATAGGGTTCTCTCTCCATCTCACAGACACATGAGAGAAGCTGGGGTTTTTTCTTCATCTCCCCCCTCCACCCCCAATCTTATTTTGAACATCAAAATTTCATAATTGCTTCCTTGTCAATTGCTTCTCCTAGAGCGGCTGCTTTAAAGCCCCCCCCCAATCCCTTCAGCCACCCCCCCCTTTTCTCCTCCCCTTCAATAGCGAGCCCTGTTCCTCCAAACAACTCGATGGGAAGCAGCCCTTGACACGCAGTCCTGGGAGACGCTGCATTTAAATCCTTTTTTCTACAGCCGAGTGACATTGTCAGATGCTAGCTTTAATTAACTTGATAATAAGACGTACACGACTACTCGCATTCAGGACGCCCGCGCGCTTCGCCTTGTTCTTCAGCAACTCTCCCCCCCCCCCCCCCCCCCCCCCCCCTTTTTTCCCCCCCCCCCCCCCGGACATTTTACTTTTTATTGCAATCTGGTTTTTTGGGTTTTTTGTTTGTTTTTAAATAGTTCAGTTTCCTCCTCTAGGTCTGTCACGACCCCGGTACCGCAGGAGAGGAACTGAGTTAGAAACCCAAAGAGTCAAGCTGCGGAAGGGAGAAGTAGGAATGGAGAGCAAGAGAGCAAAGGGGGGTGAGGGTGGAAAAAGGAAAGAGCTAAAGGGGAAAGTGAACGGCCTAAGGGTGAGGAAAGACATTCTGGAGAGAGTTGGTGCAGTACTCAAGTAGAATGTCCCGCCCCCAGGTTCCCAGCCACCTACCCCAATTCTTGTCTTGGGGTCACCAGATCCCAGACACCCACCCCATCTCTTGTCTTGGGGTCTCCTCTTACTTCCAAGAATCCCCTCCTAGACGGAGTTGTGAAGGAAGTTGCCCAAGGGCTTTGGGAAAGCCTCGGCCGAGAACCAACCAATCTCACTCTGAAAAAAGGTTGCCTAGCTTCTAATTAGGGACCAGTCTCACTCTCAAAAGCAATGTCTGCCCCCTAGCTAGGATGAGTTTCTGGAAAGAATTGGAGCAGAGCAGCACAGGTCTGGGGACAAACCGGAATGGAGAAGGGGGTAATACGGCCGCGGGACTCCGTTTCTGGATCTGGCCAACTCCTTGCCTTCAGGAGGCAGCTCCTTTCTCCTCATAGGTCAGACCATTGAAAGTGACTCTCATCCCAGCTGCTGCCCGGGCTTTCCTTGGCTCCCAGCTCAGTCTGGCTAGGCCAGAACCTCAAGTGCTCTCGGATTCTGGGGGACTCTATGAAGAGGGTTTCTTTCTCTCCCTAGATGAGAAGATAATTGCTCGCAAGTTTTTCAACTCAACTTGCGTTTTACGCTATCCAGGACACAATCCTTCTCCCAGCATTCTCCTCCCCTTCCTTAAGTCACAGTTTCTCTTTTTCTTTCTGTCTAAGATGCTGCTAGCTTTCACTGGTACCTACTGTCCTTAGCTGGCTCTGAGTGGGAGGGAGGGGCAGAGGACAAGGGTTTGCACAGCTTGGGAGCTTTGCCTACAGGGCAAGGTGGAGGCCAAATCCCGGTCCAGGATTGCTTTCCCCTCCCCCTTCCCAAGCACATCAGTCCTCGGTCACCAGCCCCTAAGAGAGAAGCTCTCAGGCCTTCGCC